AATTATTCATTCTTGAATCTCCAGTGATTTCCCTTCTGATACTTTGTATGGCTCCCTGCTTATTGAATACAGTAATGTGCTCTGAACACAGAATGCTAAACTGTGTTAGGTGTCCCAGTCCTCACCACAGCCCTGGGACCTTTTACAGATAGGGAAATCTGAAACTCAGAGTTACATGACTTACTGGAGATAAGTGAGCAGAGCCAGTAAGTGATTAAAATCAGATCCATCAAGTTATGATTTTTCCATTTCGTCTTCTGTCTTTCAAATTAATAATAGGTGTAGGGACCACGCGTGGTTAGATTCAGAGAGTCAAACTGTCTGTGTCCCAATCCAGCCATGCTTCTTATCTATGTGATCTCGGAAAAGTCAGGTAATCTCAGTGAATCTCAATTTACTCATCTACAGATGGCAAAAGTAATAGTACCTCCCTTATAGGATTTTTGTGAGTATTCATGAAGATAATCCATGAAAATAACATAGCGTGTGAGTCACTCAGTAAGTTTTGGTTATTTTTAGTATCATACCACCACCATATCCTGCCAGCTCTTTCCGGGATGCTATGGTAAGCATTTTATGTGCATTACCTTTTCAGTAGCTCTGCAAGGTAGGTATTAGATTCCATTTGCATGAGGGAAACAGACTCAGAAGCCCAAGAGCACTTAGCTAGTAAATTGCAAAGCCAGGATTTGAACTCAAGTCTGTTCAGGCTCCACAACCTATTTACTTTCTACCCATATGATGCATTTAAATCCTTTTTCCGTATTTTATGGGGTGATAGGACAATGATGTTAGTATCTGTGATGGTAAGGTCAGTGTTTTCTATGGGTGTTGCCTACTGAGTGAGCAACAGAACCAGGACTCAACCTGGGTTTGTGTCTGACTGCAGAGGCCAGACCACCCCTGACCACTGTTCCTCATAGCTTCAGGGGAAACAGTAGCTTGGTATTTAAGGGTGTGCAAATTCCACTTGTAGGAAGCTTGAAATTGGGGATCCTTTGAATAGTTACCCAGATTTACACTTTTATTGTACAGTTTTATTCCCTAGTAGCTTCCAGAAGGCTTATAGTCTTCCTAACCTTTTATCTGTAAAGCATTCCTGACTATGTTGGAATTAGTTTGTAAGTTTGGACAGTATTAAGGGGGCACTTGGGGCACAGAATAAAAATCTCCCCCTTTTGTGTTAATTTGGAAAGTCTCTGTGAAACGAGTAGATTATTCTGGCCATGTGGTAGAGCCCCATAAATCCTTTGCTCATTGGTTACGTGAGCTCATGCTTCCATCATTCAGCAGGCTCATTTGGGCAGATTTTTCGCAGCAGACTGGAGAAAACTTCCTTTGATTATTTTCAAATCATCTCTTCCAAATAAAATAGGATTGGAATAACCAACAAAATTAATCTGTGAATAATTCCAATTCTCATCAGAATTCAACTCAAGCTTTTAGCACAGAGGCAAACTGTTGGCCTGACTAGAAGGTGGCCAGACAATCAACAGCCTTTAAACAACTTACATGTGTTCAAGTTGCAGAGTTAAATAAACAACAGTAATGTGGGGAATGATTTCCCAGGCTCTGTAATGAAAGTTTGTGTCATCTGCTCTGACTTGATCTGATTTACAAAGGTACTCTTGCACTTTGGATAAACATGCACGGTAATAATGATGGTCATGTCTGGCACTTTGCACTTGGCAGTGTGCTCATTTGCACATGGTTGTATGTGATCCTGAGAACAAGCCTATCAGAGCTCCTCAGAAGCCTGGGCCTGGCTCTCAATGAGACCTAGAAAACTGGCCTTTAGGACTTTGGCTCTCACTGGTGGTGAAAATTCCATTCTAGAACTGATTATGCTTGAGTAACTTTTCTTTCAGAGGAAATAGCTGATGAGCAGAGGGAAATTCTCCCTGGTATGTTCTCATGTCTCTTCCTACTCTGCTGTATACAAATATTGTTTTGGAAGCAATTTTTCAGGGAACTGTCTAAATCCATGGTCTATCCTCAGCAAGCTACTCTTCTTTATTTCTCTAACATTAACTACAGTTCTTAGGTAAAGATAAATGCTCACATTTTTGTTGACAGTTGAGATTGAAATGTATGTTATCTTTGCTCCCCTTAAAGTTGGGCAAAGACCTCATTCTCAGTAACTCCTTAAAAAAAGAGAAATCAATATGAAGGCCAGGGGTAAAGAGTATTGAAGGGACTATGAGAACCCGGGTCATCACCACCTCTGAAGCATTTCCTAGTGTTCTTCGCTAAGGATTGCTGAAGACACTACCGTTGAGGCTAGAGAAGGGAGACGCCATTATTCTTTGAAATCCATCCTGTAGGTTTGAGCACTGGCTCTTGTAATGAAGATTGGCGGGAGAAGACAAGCTGAATGAGTGGTTGCTGCAGCCCTGGCACTTCACTCCTGGTTCCTCTCCTGCTTAGCTGTATTGTAGGGCAGGAGCTTTCTCACTGTGAGATGGGCATCCAGCTTGCCATGCTCAGGTGACCTACAGATTAGAGCAGAGTTGTGTCAAGTACCTAGTAAGGTGCCTTGCAGGTGCAAGCACTCATACATAAGTGCCATTTAAAAAATGTCAGCAGGCCCGGGTGCAGTGGCTCATGTCTGTAATCTCAGTGCTTTGTGAGGCTGAGATGGGGGGATTGCTTGAGACCAGATGTTTCTAAGACCAGCCTGGCAGCGTAGAGAGACCCCATAGCTACAAAATAATTTTAAAATCCTAAATACTTCAGAGGCTGAGGCAGGATGGTCACTTGAGTCCGGAAGTTGAAGGCTGTGGTTCACCACTACATTACAGCGTGGGCAGCAGAGTGAGACCCTGTCTCTAAAGGAAAGAAAAAGGTGATAATGCTACATAGTGAAGGTGTCACCGGGGACCCACCCCACACAAGAGAGAGGAAGCTGCTCAGAACTTGCAGTTCTCGTTCTCAGTAACAGTCATAACCTTTCTCTTTTCTTACTGTTGTGGAGACTCAGAAAGAGGCCAGAGATGTGTAGCCCTGGAAAACGTGTTCTCAGGGGTTCCAACTGCTCTGGAAGCTGGAGTGTTTTGTTGCCTTTAAGTCTCCTTCTCTTCTACTCCCTTGCCCCAGATGAACTCAGCTATGTGTAGTGATTCGGTTTATCTTGTTGAAAATTTTCAGTCCCCTACGGAAAATATGATAATGCTGTTTTCAGACGGCTGTGTTTAGGAGCGAGACTGACTTAACCAGCTGGCTGGCATCATTGGAGCCCGAGGACCTGCCAACCCATGGAGAGCAGCTGTTTGGGCTGAAATTCTTATAATTCTTACGACTTTGCATCCTACATATCAGCTTTTGAGTTCTGCTTTTAAATGCATACACAAAAGGAAAGACAACAATGAGAAGGGCCCGGTTGTGTCCATAAGTGAAGGTGGCCCTAGACATACCAGAGTATTAGGAAAGAGAAAATTCAGAAGGAGGCGAACTTTTAACAGTAAGAGATGATAATGAATGCATCCATAAATGTTTCTCAATATAGTGGGAGTGTGATGCAGCCATTAGGAATCGTGTTTGAAATTTTTTTTAGTGAATGGGTAAATGCTATGATACATACGAAATGTATAGGATACAAAATTGCATCGAGAATAAAATTCCAATTATGAAAAGGGAGTTTTACCATTACATGAGATCATTCATACAAAGCATTTAACCCAGACAGCGTGACAAAAACTCAGGAAATGATAGGTACTAGAATGCAAACTCTCTAATTGTAGGGAATACACTTGCTTCACTGTTACACCCAGAGTGCCTAGTGCAAAGTGGATGCTCAAAAGGTCTTTGTCCATTGAATGAATGAGTGCTATTGTTATGTATGCATTTCAAAAGGAATCTGGAAAAAACAACCTGCATTGCCATGTATAACACACATTATCATTGTGGCAGCTGAACATCTCTGTCCCTCAGTTCTTCATTATAAAAGGCTAAGGACATGATCTGTTGCTCAGGGTTGCTGAGAGGTGAGTGTGAGTCTACTGTAATCATGGGAAGCACCATGTAAGTGTTAGCATCATAATTAAATCCCCCCTACTTTTATCTGTAGAAAAAAAAGATGACAATTGTCATGATTTTTGTCTGTCATTTTTTACCATAGACTTCTTTTTTTTCTCTTCAGTTTTTGGCCGGGGCTGGGTTTGAACCCACCACCTCAGGCATATGGGGCCGGTGCCCTACCCCTTTGAGCCACAGGTGCCGCCTTTTACCACAGACTTTTAAAACAATAATAAAATCTCCCTCCCCCCCCCAAAAAACAAAGCTCATAAAGAAGTTAAAACTAAATGCAGTGGTTATGTCTAAATAACACTTATTCATTGCTTTCTTCTCGAGACTTTTCTACATTTTCCAAATTGTCTGTAGTTTAAATATATTTTATAGTCAAAGGGAAGGGAAAAAACAACACCATTATCTCTGTTTTTGAGAAAAAAAAAAAAAAAGAAAGCTCAGCATTATAGGTAACACAGAGCTGCTGAACTGAAAAGGAAGCTCCAGCTGAGAACAATTGAAGACAGATTGGGAAAAGGTGCCCTCCCTGGGGCCAATTTTGGAATGTTATTTAAGTCCATGTTCCATAGTGTAAGGAAGTTGTGAAGCAGTTGTTAAGAACTTGGAAACAGAACCAATGAAGAAAGATAAAGGAATATTGATTATTCGTTCTGGAGAAAAGTAGTCAAAAAACTTTAAGTATGGCTAACAGTGTCTTATAATGAGCACAGCTGATTTCCATGTCCCATGGAAAGAACAACAAAAAGATGATCAGTGGAACTTATAGCAGGAGAGGTTAGAAATGGAAGTGAATGATGATCAGACTCTCCGTAAGCTTCTAAAGGGAATGTTTAATGCTACTTTTAGCGACTGCCCATTGTCCTCTCAGATCTTGCTGCTTCCAGGACACTCCCAAGCTTTCATTTGTGCTGGTTCAGGCCCATCTTTCCTCCCCAGTTCACAGTTGTGAGTAACCTGTGAAATTCTGTTTACAGATATTTAACACCGTACCTGATATGCCTCTCACCAACGCCCAGCTGCACCTGTCTCGGAAGAAGAGCAGCGACTCCAAGCCCCCGTCCTGCAGTGAGAGGCCCCTGACGCTGTTCCATGCTGTGCAGTCCACAGAGAAACGTGAGTCCCTGCTGCTTGGCATCCAGGAACATCCCGTGCCACCTGCCACTGCTTGGCCTCTGTCTGTGTGATGCTGGCCTTTTGTAACATTGAAGACTGTCCCATGGTGCCCTCCCAAGTTCATTTGCTGAGGAACCCTTGTAGGACAATAAGCAATATTCCTGAGAATGAAAGGCAGCGGCCACCACTGAGGCCTGTCTTTCCAGGTCTCCTGTGGGGAAACACCTGAGCCTCTTTCCTTCTGCTACACAAGAGCTGGGCCGAGGCAGCCCTTCGTTAGCTCCCTTTGACTCCCGTCAGACCAGCATCTTTTCCTTTTCCAGCTGTAATGAGATATGTATCAATGTGAGTCCCGTGCCTGCTAGACTGTGGCTCTGTGAGAGCACAGGCTTGTGGCACCCAACTTCTTCCTCCACCTCTCGCCGTGCCCAGCGTAGAGTAGACACCTAAAAGCATTTGGAATCAGTTAATGAATTAGAGAACAATACCTTTCGTGTCCTAGATAGCAGAATGTTACCACCACAACTGTATCAAATCTGTTTTTCATCTCAAGATTTCTGACCTCTTTGCTGTGATCAGGTACTTATCTCAGCTTCTGTAATAAGAAAGTCACGTAGCTTAGGAGTAGAGGCCTCAAGATCTGCCCGAAATCAGCCCAACATGGGTTCTGGTGCCAGAGCCACAACGTGGGCAAGCCTCATCTGTAAAACAGGAATAATAGTACCCACCTCAGAGGAAAGTTGAGAATTCAATGAAATTATGCATTTTGGCATCTGGCACAGGACTGAAACGTGGCAAAGGCCAGTAAGTAAGAGCTGCTACTACCATGATTAGTTACTGAGTACATGTGGTGCATGTCCAATCTGTGAAAATTAGGTCAGCTTAAGGAGGTTGTTGATATAGACAGGTGATCAGCTATGGAGGTTCTACTGTAAGGGTCATAATACCTCTGCCACCATCACCACCCAGCGTTTCCACAGCATTTATTCTGCACCTGACACCATATAAAGTGCTTTCATGTTCACGTCAACTCTGTGTAACAGAAAGCATCATTTTATTTTCCAGAGGAGGAAACTGGGGCCCTGAAATGTTAAATGACTTCCATAGTGGAAGCGGTCTCTGTAATTGACCCTCTGTCTACATTGACCACCTCCTGAAATTGTCTACATTGACCACCTCCTCTCTGTAATTGACCCTCTGTCTACATTGACCACCTCCTGAAATTGTCTACATTGACCACCTCCTAATTTTCATAGACTAGATATGCACCTGTGTACTCAGTGGAAGTTCCTTATGTTGACCACCTCCATATGTTGACCAATTTGTTACAGGCCCTTGGGTGGTCAATTTACAGAGGTTCTACTGTATTATTATTGCTGCTACCCTCTACTAGGTGTAGTAAAGGCATAGAGAAGGCACTGATTTCCCAGAAAAGGGGAGACTCTATATCTAGATTAGCATTGTTCTTTCTCCTTGTTGCTAATTTTTTTTTAAAATCTTCTTATGTTTCTAAAGAAATGGCCCTCTTTGTCATAACTTCTGAAAACAAACCTCCATTCCTAAAACATCAGTGCACTTAAAAGTGTCATAGGGTACCATAATACAGCTGCATCATGGTGTGGTTAGTACCATTTAAGTTGCTTGAGATGTTTGGCTTTTATACATAAAGCTACTATCAACATCATTGTAACTAAATCTCTCCTATTTGTGTTCGTTTTTTAAAGGTAAATTCCTAGAAGAATTTCTAGGTCAGCAGATAATGATGATTTCAGGGCCTTAACCTTGTGCTGGGATTGGCTTTCCCTCTCACAATAGCCTGTGTTCCTCTTAGATATTTGGCTGGGTTCATTCTCACCATGGTCTGATACCCCTCCACTTGTATCAGGGAACACTTGGAACAGGACTGGCCTCACTCACACCTGCCAAATGAACAAGGCATTAGGCTATGGGGTGATGTGCTTCTCGGATTTCGAGGAGACCCACGGTCTCCTAATGTTTTGTAGTAAGCAGTATACAGGGCAGATTGGGAGAGGCCAGACAGAACTGGTATCTTCTCCCAAGCTTAAAATAGTGTTGGGTTTGTGGTTAGACTAAAGCAGAGCAGCTTTGGAATAGGCCTCAAAGCATACTCTGGAAACACGTCAGAACAAAGATGGAGATTTGGAAAAAATCAGCTAGATCTTTGCCCGAGATTAATTTTATCACATGAGGCAAAGAATGAAAGTTAAAGATGTGTGACAGCAGAGCTGCCAAAGCTGCAGGGCAGGCCATGGTGTCCCTGTCTGCAGACCGTGGCTGGAGGATACAAAATGAGAAGACAGGGAACAGTAGAACTTCCCCCTTAATGTGAGGACCAGAGCACAGGGATGTGCTCGGATATTGGAAAGGGGCGAAGCCTTCCCCCTCACATAGAGAATACACATGTTAACTGAAAGGTCTGTGTGTGTGTGTGAGTTTGTTTGGGAAACCACCTTTTCTTCTGGAAAACTAGAATGCTTTTGAAGCTAGAATAGGAAGCACCAGAGGACCTGCAGGGGAGGGCTGGAAGCTGTGAGGAAGACAGAGCCCGGAACTGGAAGTTCTGCTGGGACTCACCCCACCCAGGTTGTCCTCCAGCAGCCCCCATCACAGTTAATGAGCAGGTAGCAAGGCACACGCAGTTCACCCTTCCCTACGTCTGGTCTGGTCAGTGGACAAAGACAGAAAGCTTTATTTTATCAAAGTACTTCACTGAGTTTATCTTTGATGTTAAAGTACAGGTAACAATAGGTAAGGATTATGCAGGTAATTTGTGGGGAAAAAATGTGTAGCTCCATGTAATGATGTTTTTCAATCTGAGGCCTCTTTACATACCTGGCTCAGAGCTTCCCAAACTCCAGTCATGTCCATACAGCTTCTCTCACTATCTGGCCACAGTCCCAGAGTTCCCATGCTACTATCTGTTTAATACACAGTTTTGTGTTTTGAGACAGGGTCTTGCTCTGTCTCCTGGGCTGGAATGGTACAGTGGCATCATCATTGTTCACAGCAACTTTAATCACTGGGCTCAAGTGATTCTCTTGCCTCAGTCTTTTGAGTAGCTGGGACTACGGGCTCAGACTACAAGGCCTCATTAACTTCTCTGTTTTTAGTAGAGATAAACTCTCCATCCTGCTCAGGCTGGTCTTGAACTCATGAGCTCAAGCAATCCTGTCCTCAGCCTCCCTATGTGCTAGGATTGCAGGCATGAGCCACCACCAAGCCCAGTCTTAATATTCTTCTTTGTGTTGATCTTAAAGTAACTTAGCTCTTTACCTGGCCTCATCCTGATATAGAAAATCTCTAAACAGGTCAATTGGATGGTGTCACTATATTATTCCCTGAAATACACTAAAATCAATATGTAACATTAGAAATGTTCATCCACATCCTCCCTTAGTATTACTGAATGTTTTATGTAGCCCCTGGGAGGTGGGCCACAGTTTGGAATCCACAGAGCTGGCTTTTAATTTTGACTGACTTCATTCCTCATCCTTAAACATACAGATCCAAGTTGTCTTTGTCCACTGGGCTAGTAGGTTCAGATGTTGGCAGTTGTCTATGTATATCACTGTGGACACCCCCGTTCATCTGTCAGCCTCACGCTGTCCACTTGCAGTTGATTGTGACGCCTCTAGGTTTGATGTGACCATCCATACCTTTCTTCAGGCTCTTGCCCCAGGGCACATACCGTAGGAACGGGATTGCACTGTGTAGGCGCGTGCGTGCACACACACACACACACACACACACACACACACGAATAGCTCTCCTCTGTTTTCAGACTTGTCCTGGGGTGTTTTTCAGAGCCTCATTTCTGCTGTCTGCCTGACCTGATTTCTTCTAAGTTCAGTTATTTTTCTTTTCTCCTCATTGAGGTACCTGGGGGTTATATTATCTCTTTAGCCCCCATTTGAGACGCCTACTGGGCTGAAGTCTCCTGAGTAGGCCACTTGGCTGCTTCCCTTTGAAAGATCCCAATTGTTGATTGTCAGCATGCATTTTTCTCTACCTCCCTGCAGTGTCCTGACTAGGAACAGAAGTTGGAACCCATTCAGATTGTGATTTGTCCCCTTCTTCCTGGAGAGGAAGCTCCTGAGGGTCACACTGGGAGCTCCATTGGCTCAGTCCTCTGTCCTAGCACCTGCACTGCAGGCTTATGTGTGGGTAGAAATATAATGCAGGCAGACGGTCCAGAGGACTCAGCAGGAATGGCCTGGGCCTCAGCCCTCGCTGTTCATGAGGCCTGTGGTGGTGGTGGTGGTGGTGGGGTCAGAATGTTCAAGTGCGTAGACAGAAAACTAGTTTGGGGACATCTGAGTAAAGTTCAGCAGCTTAGCAGAGATGGGATACCAGCAGAATTAGATGACTAAAAATTACCCTTGACCCCAGACAATCTAGCCTGAAGGCTATTGCCATAGCCCTTCCTTTCCCATCCCTAAGGCAACTTTCTTACCTACTTAGTTCTGCCCTTGACAACTGTTTTATGATTTAGTGCCTCCACCATGATGACCTTTTCTATAATCAAAAGACCACTCGCATGACTGAGTCACAAGAGTGTTAATTCTTTGCTTCTTCATTCTGTAAACATATGCCCTAAAATCTTGAATAAAAACCTTCTGAGAATTCAAATCAGCTATGCACCTATTTGCCTCTTGATACTGGCTGATACAGTGTCTGTCTCTCTAGGTCTCAGCAAACTTTTTCAAACTCTGCCTGTTCATTTCTCAGCTCTGTCTCACCCTCCACCTCCAGACACTGAGTGGCTGGGAAAGTCCCCTACTGGGGAGTTGTCAGTCCACCATTTTGCAGCTCTTTGCTCCGCTGCAACACTCATGGAAATATCCGGCGTATTAGATGATGCTCATAGGTGTGTGTCTTATTTTTGAGAAGGAGTTTTTCTTTCTGTGTAGGTAGCATAGCTGCGTGCCCAGGCACCTGCATCTGACTCTCCCACTCTTGTCTGTGAGTATTAGCAGAAT